TCTTTAATCTCTGGTTTAGGACATGTTTGCGGAGAGAGGTCAGTTGGACTGTCCGATGAATCGACAGGTGGCATTGACTCGCCATTCACTGGTTAATCCTGAGTATACGCTGGAGCGTTTTGCTGCTGACAATTTTAGGTGAAATTTTGCAATCGTACATGTAAATATGTATCTTCCCAGAAGAATATGTAGTTATGTATGTATGCATGTATGTATATGTGTATGTATGTATTTGTGTGTATCCATGTATGTACGTATGTATGTATGAATGTATGTATGTGTATATGTTAAGAATGCACGAAAAACATTTGTAGGTCTCCAGCACCACGGCCGCAGGGACTGGGTGAAAGCTTCTACGAGCAGCTGGCACCGCTGAATCTGTGGTCATATGGTCGCGAGCCGCTCAAGTTGCCTTTGCTAAAGGTACATTCACGATTTGAAAATGTTCTCATCGGAAGAAAACTGTTGACGAAAAAATGTAGTGTTCGATTTTCTGTGAGTTCGGCAGCTATTAATTTCTCGAGTTGGTAAAAATCTTCAGTGCAGGAAACTGAAAGTGTCATGCGGATTTTTCTTGTTTGTCCTTTGAAGTTATATGTTTCAGAAATTGCAAGGGAAAGCGGAACCGTCGCAAGCAGCAGTCAAAGGTTATCTGGCGATTTTGAAATATATGGGGGACTATCCGTGCAGGCGCATTTTCCTAATCACCGAGCTGACTGATAAAGTTTTCAAAGGAGCGTTCAAATATGTGAGTTCTTGGGAAACGGATATCCCAAGTGTGAACTATGTTTTTTCACATCTGTTTTCTGGCACTAGTCGATCTGTCCATGAGACAAATAGTTTGTTTTAGTTATCAATTTTTGCAGCAAATTCTGCGGGACGAGATCTATTGCCAGTTAATGAAGCAGCTGACACACAACTACAATACGATAAGTCTGGAACGCGGCTGGGAACTTATGTGGCTGTGCACCGGAATATTTGCTCCTAGTCAGTCACTTTTGAAGGAAGTACAGTTATTTCTGCGAACTAGAACACATCCACTGGCATCCCACTGTTTCACCAGACTTCATCGAATTCAACGGTGAGTGAAAATCGTCTGCCAAAGTGTACTGTGCCCGGTCAAAACGCCATAGAACTCAAAACACGTAACCAAATTTCTCAATTACTCGACATCATTTCG